AATGAACTTGTCGGTGAATTAATTGTCGGTGAACTAAGCTGTCGGTGAAGTGATTGTCGGTGAAATGAGCACCACCCTGTTAAAAGCGCTATTATACATATAATATTTACCGCTATTTCAGTATTGAATGGATTTCAGTTCGATTCAAGAATTTAAGGATTTAAAATTTGTATCAATTTTTTATCACTATCATAGGTTGATCTTGAATATCCTGATAGATACGGTTGTGGAAAATGGAATGGGTCTGAAAATTTTGTTCCGTTAGTATATGAATTATCATCCGCATTAAAAATCATTAAGAAATCACTTTCAATAACCGTTGGAAATAACCCAATCAAAGGGTTAAATATTAGTTCAACTGAATTCATTGAATTCATAAATGTCATGGTAATCTATTATTGATTAATAATTTTGTTTGTTTTTATTGATTTCTTTCTAATGAAATTCTATTTTTTTTATTATAGCCATTTCGGCAAAATGAAATATCTAACAAAACCGGTCCAAGTATCACGCTTGATCAAATATCGATTATCATGGATGGTTGGAGTAAAATTATGGATCCAAAAAAACTTATTCTAGGTGTTGCGGTATATGGTGTTGTTGAATTTACTAGGCCAATTGAAGGTAGTCTTGAGAATAACAACACAGTTCCGCTTGATACTACTGTCGATATTAAATCTTCTGTCTTTGGTGCCATATTCTCCTCGGATGAAAGTGCAACAGTTTCTTATTATGACGTATGCTCCTTTAAAGAAATCTATTATCTTAATGTGGGTTCTTGTCAGGCAATTAGATCGAAAACTGGTCCATTATCAAGTTCTTGCACTGCACAAAACGGATGGACTCGAGTATTTGATTCCAATGTTAAATCCACATATCTTTTTAAGGTTTATAATACCTCAGTAGTGGTAGGTTCTCCAAATCCACTTACCACGTATTATTATGTTACTTATGAGGATTCCCAATCAATTCAACATAAGTTAAAGTTGATAATAGATAAATCATACGGTGGGATTGCACTTGATGGTGTAGGAATTGGTTGTGAGGATATGATCAGAGCAGTTGAATCTATCTTTCCGCTCAATGGGTATAATCCTCCTAGTACTTCTTCTGAAGTTAATCCTTTACTTGCTGCCCTCGTTGCAATAGCGTGTTTGCTCTTTTGTTGTGGCGGAGGAGGAGTTTATTATGACAAGTATGGACGTAAGTACTGGAGAGTAGGGTAAATTTAAGAACAGTTAACCCAGTGGTATCTTCGTGATCATCACATGATTACTATAAACACTTAAATGTTAGGGTATGTAGAATATAATGGTTCATTTTTAGGCTTGTGATTTCCAATATTAATATATGATAGCTGTGTAACATAGTTGCGCTAGAAACCAGGAACAAATGCAAAATAGATTATTTTATTTACTGCTGTGACTAGAGTATTTATGTCTGTATATATAAATTAACCAGAATGGTCCTAAAGTCTTATTATCAATTTCAACAGTGAACTTATATACAAACATTCCGAGTTATTGCTATAATAAGTAATTTTTATTAACCTATTTTAATAATATTAGCGGCGATAGCGTTCATTTTCTCATGTGTCATATATTTTGTCATTATAATTCATATAATTATCATCTGAATATCAATGTAATAATGAAATTATCATCTCAATGAATTATCATCTGAATATCAATGCAATAATTAAATTATATTTATACAAAGTGCTCTTTTTTCGAATTAATGTATTTGAACAGATTTTATTTCATATAAATTAGATAAATGCTCATAAATAATAGAAAAGGTATTTTTTTAGTTGTGATGCTCTTTAGATTTCATATCTAGAGTATTCTAATTAATTTGATTTGAAAAATAGTTATGAAGCAATCGATTTGCTTGTAACTTTTTTGGATACGCAGCTGTCCTTATATAGTAATTTGATCGGGCCGTATAATTCTCTTCACTATATAAATCTATTAATAGAAATTCACCATTGAGAAGGTTTTTATATCTTCTATTCACTATAACCGGTGTGTATTAATTCAAAATATGCTGCGCAAAATATGACCTGAATCAATTTTAATTCAGACCATAACTTAAAATGCCTGCTATACATGAGCGTTAGTCTGCCTTCCATATTTGCTATTGTTGGTGCCACAGAATCTATATAATCTAATTCAGAGTTTTACATTTTAGCAGTTCTGATTGGCTACCGTTACTAGCAAATAAATTCTGTTG